TAAGATGGAGTCTCACTCTGTCGCCCAGACTGGAATGCAGTGATGCGATCTCAGCTCACTGCAACCTCTGCCTCCTGAGTTCAAGCAATTCTCCTGCCTCAGCCTCTTGAGTAGCTGGGATTACAAGCATGAGCCGCCACGCCTGGCTAATTTTTGTATTTTTAGTAGACACGGGGTTTCACCGACCTTGTGATCTGCCCGCTCGGCCTTCCAAAGTGCTGAGATTACAGACGTGAGCCACCGTGCCTGGCCAACTGAATATCTTTTTAGTTGTAAGAAAATACAGGCTATTTTCTTCTTGATGCACTGCAGATCATTAAACATCACCCAGTATATTAAATAAAATTCAAGGAGTAATGAGTTCAAATTTGACATTCTTCACTTACAGAATTTCACAACAGGAAAGCTTATATTCTGATAGACACCAAATCATGTTCTAGAAAAAAGATGATGATAAATAGATATAGTTCAAAGTAGACAGATGGTGGCTATATATGTTTGAAGACTTTGGGGCTAATTTTTGTTTTTGTTATTGTTTTTGAGACAGAGTCTCGCTGTATCTCCCAGACTACAGTGTCGTCATTCCCGCTCACCGCAGCCTCTGCCTCCTGGGTTCAAGCAAGTCTCCACCCTGAGTAGCTGGGGCTAAAGGCACACACCACCATGCCTGCTAATTCTTGTATTTTTAGTAGAGATGAGTGCTGGGATTACAGGCGTAAGCCACAGTGTTCCAGCCTACGGGGCTAAATTTTCATAGGTTTCTTTGTTCCAAGGATTCTCAGAGCCTTTATTATGCAAAGGTTCACTGTGAATGTCTCACAGAGAATAAAGTTGTAGCATTTCCTGAGCCTCCAAAGTTCAGCACAATAAAAACTAGAAAGCATTTTTTTTTTTACCTAAGTGTTCGGGCAGATTCCTTACCCTCTTTTGCCTGTCTATTCATAGATACAGAAGACAGACAAGAGGTTCAGAAATTGCTGTGGATGAAAAGCAGCAGTTTTATGGCAAGTTATATCAAAGTCGAGAATATCAGAAGAATTATTTAAAAGGAAACTTTAGAAAGTGAATACGATTTTAAGAAGTTATTAAAATATTTTTGCTTCAAGTGATATATTTAAGTTTTCTTATATTTGTTAAGAATTAACTGGATCATTTGAGCTCAGAAGTTCAAGACCAGCCTGAACAACATAGTGAGACCTAATCTCTATTTTAAAAAGAATGAATTGCATAAGATAAGGATGCATATTTTGCTACTAAAATTTCACTGTACTGTGTTAGTCTAAGGTTCTGATTTCTACTTGCCCTAGAAGAGAAACAGTCTTGCTACTGCAGATACACGAGAGTGACATCTAGTGGTCATGCAAGGCAACTTCAGACATTTACAGAGCCGTGCTGTGTTACAAGAAGCTGCACAGGTCTTCTTCACCCCTAACTACATGGTACATGGAGTTTCTCTCCAATATCCCTGACCCCATTCATCCAGCATCTGCTTGGATACCTCCAGTGATAGACAATTAACACTTTCAGGTTCCAGCTGTTTCATTCAGTCCCACCAGCAAATTCTTCCTTGAATTGTACTAACATATACGTGTCTCCGTTAGCATCTATCTTCATTAGCATCTTTCAGTCCTAATTTAGCTTCATGCCCTTACATGAAATATACATTATCTCTTCTTTCTTCTGATATATAAAGATTGTCCTCCGGGTTCCTGGGTCTTTTCCCTCCAGCATAAACAACCCCCATACTTCTACCTGTGCCAAAATCACCTAGTTTACCCAACTGACAGGTACTAAATTGTGTCCACAGTATCATGTTTAATTCCAACAGTGTGTGATATTTCTGAAAATACCGTGGGAATAATAGTGATAGTGCTAATCTAACTCTGTTTCCCCAGGGCAGTGGAGATCTGCCTGGCATAGAGAGACACTTGAACAAACCTGCCTTCTTGTGAAGCTGTCCTTACTCACTTTCTCTTCCTTGAGGAATGGCAGTCATATTCTTTTATATTACAAATTACAATATTATAGTGTAACTGCTGAGTCAGAAATACATCGCTCCCTCTAGGAACACTGTCACCTTTCACTCCCACTCTCTTTTGTACATCAAGGGGAGGCAAAACTATTATATTATTATACTTAATCATACAGACAAATGTATTATTTTTAAAATCTCAGTTCTGGGTTAGTGGGTGTTTTAGGCTTTTATCCTAGTGACAAAATCCCCAATTAATCTTTAAGTTAAAACTCCAAATATAAAGTATATCTGCTTTGGTTGAAATGGAGGTGGGGGGCAGAATAGAGGCGGGGATAGGGGACGGAGTTGGGCTCTATCTGCTCAGCCCGCCCTTCGTCCCCATCCCCAGGTTCCCCGGTCCGCAGGCACCACCAAACACTAATCTGATCCAGACCACTGGTGCCAAGAAAATTAGACATTTTGTAAGGATATTTTGTTCCACTCCCAAAAATAAATGTGAAAATCTAGGGGGAAAATTTATATTCTAAGAAAAAATAGATACCCAATTAACCATTAAAGAGATAGACAACTTAAAATACCAATTAATACCAATTACCTAGAGAAGTTGAGAAATTGTCAGAGTTACCACCTTAAGATGTTCCAGGCCATCTGCTTCACAGAGGAGTGGTAATAAACATTCAAGGAACAAAAGATTTTAATATGGTTTAAACAATTTTAGGGAATAAAGTGAGAAAGAGATCTTCCAAATCGCTTTAACCAAACCAGCATTACACTGATGCTGTATCATTGAAAACTTAACAAGGAAGTACAGAAAAGGAAAATAACACCTCTTCCTTTCCTCTCTCACCTATTTACATATGTGTCTGTGTATGTAGATGCATGCATACATATAAAATAGAACGCAGCAGCACGTAGAAAGAATACTAAACCATAGCCTAATGGATTTATTTTTTTAAAATAAAACTAGAACAATTTAAGGCTATGTATCGGTATAATTCACTAGGTTTATAGGTTAAGAGGGGGAAATGATCATCTCAACAGATCCTCAAAACTATCTGAAAAAGTTAAAAATCAATTTCTTAGTTTTAAATTCCTTCTAGTAGGAATGGGTGTGTTCTTCAACAAAATTAAATTTATGTCTCTAATGAAAAGTATGTGTCATACCTAATGTTAAATCAAATCAAATCAAACCCGTTACAATTTAACACTTTTCTGGATATACCAACCATTGAATTAGAGAGTAGAGATAAATAACAGGTGAAACTAGAAGAAAGGTAAGGCATAATGTTATTATTATTGCTAGCTGATACACGCATAATTTTATACCTGGACAAAACAGTAAAATCAATCAAAAGCAATTTTGAAAAACAGTAGGAGAATTCAACAAGCAAGCTGCATACAAAATTAATATGCAAAAGTCCAGGTTCTAGAGGAGAAATGGGGAAAAGGGAAGGGAGAGGGAGAGAGAGGGGAAGAGAAAAAGAGAGAGGAAGAGAGAGAGAGAAGAAGAAAGAGAGGGGAGGAGATTTAAGGGAAGAGAAAGGAGGAAAGAGAGAGGGAGAGACAGAGAAAGAGGAAGAGAGGGAGAGGGAGGCGGAGGGAAGCTGGTTGTCTTGGGCTCTGAGTCTCCAGCAGCAGTCATCAGCTTGCTCCCTACCAGCTAAACAGGCCTTTTCTCGTCTTCTAGCTTGAGACAAAATCTGCTTTTTTCTCCACATTGATGTCATAAGAAACGATCATGGCTGCATAACTTGCCCCCTTTCTAGCAATAAGAACCCACATATTTCCTTCAGGGGGAAAGGTAAATGGAAGAATTTTTATAGAGACTATGCAGCAAGATTTTGAAATAGAAATTTCAAGTGGCTTATCACAGAAGGTATCTAGAACACAATCCTATAGGGATTTCATGGATCATTATCAATGCTCTCTCGGTCCCTAATCAGATTAAACTGTGTTGTTGAGAGAAGCGGGGTATGGGTTATGCCACAGTATTTAGACAAGAGAAAATAAACAGGCACAAATTTATACTATTCCGAGCAATTCAATTGGAAAGGGAAGAAGGGAAAAGAAACACAAGAGGAGCTCAAGGTTGGCTGATGACACTGACTGCTCTTGGTGTAACTGAGATGGAGCAGGGACTCTTCCTAGGGACTTGCAGGCACCAAAGCGTGGAAATAAGGGAAAATCTTGAGTTCCTTTGAAGGAAATTCCAGGCACCTCGCTAGTCTTAAGAAGTAAATGAGCAATTCTATAAGCTAGAAGGTAATACAGCTTAAAACAATAGCCAAGGAAGTTAGCGTCAGGAGGACGCTTGGTTCCCTGTAGAAACTAGAGATAACGTCTTAACCTGTGTCCCTGAGTTGTTTTTTAGAAATCCAGATCCTCCTCACCAAAGGAATCCTCTGGCACACAGACCTCAGATAAGGGGGAACTGAGGACTGAACTCTGATGGCTGTCCTTTCTTCTAAATTTCTTCCTGAGGGGCCTGGAAGAGCTCATACCCACCAGCCAGGGCTAACCTTCTTTTCTGTTGATAACAAATTTTTAGACAAAGCCTCACTTCCTTAAGCGGGTCAGACAAATCTTCGAATCCGCATGTGCGATGGCTCATGCTTATAATCCCAGCACTTTGGGAGGCCAAGGTCAGAAGATCGAGACCAGCCTGGCCAACATGCAAAACCCCATCTCTACTAAAAATACAAAAATTAGCTGGGTGTGGTGTTGTGTGCCTGTAGTCCCAGCCACTGAGGAGGCTGAGACAGGAGAATCTCTTGAACTTGGGAGGTAGAGGTTGCGAGTGAGCAGAGATCGCACCACTGCACTCCAGCTTGAGCGACAGAGGGAGGCCCCATCTCAAAAAAAAAAAAACAAAAAAGAAAATCTTCGAATCCTCCTATGGCCTGTGGGCCCCTCCTAACCACCCCCAATACACATACACATGCTTTGAGATCTCCTGCCTTTTTAGGTTAAATCAATATATTGATTTATGACTCTGCCTCCTTACCTTAATTTTTTTATTTTTTTATTTTTTGAGATGTAGTTTCACTCTTGTTGCCCAGGCTGGAGTGCAGTGGAGTGATCTTGGCTCACTGCAGCCTCTGCCAACTGGGTTCAAGCAATTCTTCTGCCGCAGCCTACCAAGTAGCTGGGATTATAGACATGCCACCACGCCCAGCTAATTTTTTTGTATTTTTAGTAGAGACAGGGTTTCACCATGTTAGCCAGGCTGGTCTCAAACTCTTGACCTCATGTGATCCACCCGCCTTGGCCTCCCAAAGTGCTGGGATTACAGGCATGAGCCACCGTGCCCGGCCTGATGTTGTATTTTAATAATATAATAACAACGCTTTTAATGGCATTGTCAGTAAATGATATGCTCCACTAACAACACATTTCCTTCTGTCATTCAGATAAACTGTTTTGTTTTTTCTTTTGAGATGGAATCTCACTCTGTCGCCCAGGCTGGAGTGCTGTGGCACAATCTCGGCTCACTGCAACCTCCGCCTCCCAGGTTCAAGCAATTCTCCTGCCTCAGCCTCCCTCCTAGCCAGGATTACAGATATCTGTCACCAGACCTGGTTAATTTTCGTATTGTTAGTAGAGACAGGGCTGCACCATATTGGCCAGGCTCGTCTTGAACTCCTGAGCTCAAGTGATTCACCCGTCTCGGCCTCCCAAAGTACTGGAATTACAGGTGTGAGCCACTGTGCTTGGCCAAAAAAGTTTTTTATTATTACAGTTTGGATGGTGCACATCCAAAAATGATCAATTTCCCTGCTTTCTTAAACAGAGCTTACTGGTTATAATGCTACATTGTGAGTGAGTCAGAGTCATCATTTATGACTATTATAAGGTAATTGTGCAGGATAAAAGTGGCATCTCCCAAGGGACACACTTGGGGATCCAAAAGATAGCTTCTTGTAGTTGGCACCACCAGGGGTCAGGATGGCTGAGACAGAACCCGTCTCAGTTCAGGTGGTGCAGTGATACAAGCCCAGAACAGGATGGAGGAGATGCTCCTCAGTGCCATCCTGCTGAAAAACGGAGTCCAAGAGTCAGCTCCCCTTCTTTGGGACCAGATAGTGTTTTGGCCTTAATAATAATAATAATAATAATAATAATAATTGCTTTGGAGAGATGTGCTTACTCACAGATAATTTGCATGGTTACGATTCTTGCTGGTGGAACTAGGATCTATTTCTCCCTCTTCTAGAAATAAGAGTTGACAGACTTGGGCAGAGGGGAGTCTCCATTAATTTTTGGGCAAAGCCTGAGCTCTGGAGTTTGCCACTGAGAGGTGGAAAGGATAGAGTTCCCATAGGAAGGGATGTGTGGCTTCTGGGCGTGTGACCTGCAGAGGAGCTGTTAGGAGCAGAAAGGGAGTGAGGAGGAGAGAGAAAGAGGTCAGGAGAGACGGAGCCTCCGAAGGTCTCAGCCTAGACGTTCCTCTCAGCTCAAAGACTAAGGCTCTTGTCCTTCTGCTGCTGTGCTCTGAGATACTCACCAGGCCCTTCAGTAATTCAGCTGGTCTAGGGACGCTGGGAAGTTTGCGACAGGAAGGTATTTGTCTCCTGATTGCCACAGGCTGAAATGGAGTTCAGAGTCAACCACCTTCTCTCCCCTCCTCCATCCATATTTTTCAAATCTCTGCGGCAGTGCCACCCCTGAGCACAGTGGCCGTGGACAGGAGATATTCCAGGCCTAAAGACTGAGTGGCTTGTTTCTGATGTTTCTCAGCCATCCTGAGTGTGTAGTCCTCCCTGCCCTACACACTCACCCCATGACCTAGTAAAGACCATTTCCCACGGCTGCAAGGGAGGGACCCACCTCCACACCCACACTAGAGTCTATCTGTTTTCCGTTTCTAGTTTCCTCCCTTATTGTCAAACTGTCAGCAGTACATTCCAACTTGTTTTTATTAAAAAGGAATGAAGGCTGGGCACAGTGGCTCATGCCAGTAATCCCAGCACTTTGGGAGGCCAATGCGGTGGATCACCTGACGTCAGTAGCATGAAACCAGCCTGGCCAACATAGTGCAACCCCGTCTCTACTAAAAAAATACAAACATTAGCTGGACGTGGTAGCAGGTGCCTGTAATCCCAGCTACTCCGGAGGCTGAGGCAGGAGAATTGCTTGAATCTGGGAGGCGGAGGTTGCAGTGAGCCAAGATCACACTATTGCACTCCAGCCTGGGTGATGAGAGTGGAATTCCATCTCAAAAAACAAAAAAAAGGAATGGGGACACTTCGTGGTTATTGGTTATTTTAGCCAAGATGCATATTCTAAATCTAATCATAATGAGACATGGCACAAACCCGAATTTTATAAAACACCTGGCCCATATTCCTCAAAAATGCCGATATAATAAAAGACAAACTATGGGTGAGGAGCTGTTCCAGACTAAAGGAACCTAAGAGATGT